TATATATACACACAAACACACATACACACGTATGTACACACACACACACGCACAGACCACCTACGACAAAACTGACACAGCTGTTCCAGGGTGACACTGAAGCCCCCACCCCACCCCCCCCCCCACCCCCCCGGCCCGCCCCGCCCCCCTCATTAGCATCAATGGCAAGTGAGTCTGATCATTCAACCTCATTTGCTTGGTATTCAGTCATGTTGATTTTTGTTTGTTTATTTCTTCCAATATTAGGATAAATTTTATTTATCTTTTTTTTTACTTATTTCCCTCAAATTATTAATGTCATTCATTTCTTTATGTTATTTCTATTTTGTTTATTCTTGTTTTCTTTATCATCATCCCTTATTTATTTATTATTATCCACATTATCATTATTATCATTAGTGTTATTATCATTACTATTATCATTATCATTACTATTACCATTATTATCATCATTATTATCATTACTTTTATCACAATTGTCATTATTTCTATCCTTTTTATAATCATTTTTTAAGCATCATTATCATTATGGTTATTCTTATCATAGTTATTGCCATTACAATATTCTAAGCATCATTAACAGTACTTTTTCAATTATCTTCATTTTCGTTTATATTCTTATTGGAATCATTACTATCAAGATCATCATTATGATCATTATTATCATCAGTTTTGATCAGATTATCATCGGAATTATCATTATCCTTATAGTTATTACTATTATTGTTATCAATATTATCATTACCATAACATATGATAGTAATAATAATTATAACAACAACAATTATTATTATCACTATTATCATTATTATTATCATTATCATTATTATTATTATCATAATTATTATTATTGTAAGCTATATAAAGAGCCACATTCAATAAAATCGAGATTTATACCACCCAAGGTGTCAGCGCAGGTCAAGATACAACCAAGAAAGAATGAGAAGATAGAAAGCCAGCTATTTACGTAAGAAAAACATGCTAGCTGATCTTATCGAGAGTCACAGATGTTGCAATCTCTAAAGCTTATCTATTCCAAAGTCTATAAATAGCATCAAAAAAGTATTTAGGAAATTGACGATCGACTTACATCAATTGTTCTTGAATTAAGGGTTATAAAACTTATAAAACTCACTTTTATAACTTATAAAATTTACTTCTGGTCACTCTTGCAGGTTGATCAAATTCAGACAAAAAATTATAGAGGGGATGTGAATTATCGGTTACAATCTTGCATAAGACAGAAAGATCCCCAATAACCTCACGATTAAACAGGAGAAATTGAATTGAATTAAAAGAACGATCAAGCAGTCTTAAGTGTGAGTCTGCAGGAGATAACCACACAGGATAACAATACTCAAAATGAGACATAATAAAAGATTCTCTTGCTATTGCGAATGATGCCTAACTTAGATCAAATTATAATAATAAAGAGTAACTATAATAATGACATAATCATGATAATGTTTATAATCTTAATGATAACAATAATAATAGTGATAACAATAATGATAAAAATGGTAACAACAACAACAAAATGATAATGATAAAGATAATTGTAATAGTGATGACGAGGATGATAGTCATGATAATCATATTAATAATAATAGCAGTGATAATTATAATAATAATGATAATAATAATAAGAATTAAAATGATAATAACAATAGCAATAATGATAGTAATGATAATAATGATACTGACAATGATAATCATAATCATAATGAAAATAGTAGAAAAATAATAATGATAACACTAATAACAACATGACAATAATGATAGATGATAATAATAATAGTAATAATGATAATGACAATAATAAAAACAATAGTAATGATAGTCATTATGGCAATAGAAATAATGATACTATTAATGATGATGATAATGATAATAGAAATAAGGATAATGATAATAATAACAATGATCACAATAAGAATAAGAATGAAAATGAAAACAATAACAACAACAACAACAATGATAATAATTCTAATAATGATAAAAGTAATGATAATAATAGTAATGAATGATAAAACAATAATAATAAATAATAATAACAACAAAATAATAATAATAATAATAATAATAATAATAATAATAATAATAATAATAATAATAATAATAATAATAATAATAATAATAATGATGATAATAATAATGATAATAATGATAATAATAACGACAATAATGATAATAATAATGATAACAATAATAACAACCATGATAATGACGACAAAGATAATAACAATAACAATAATAATAAAAACAAAAACAAAAGCAAAAAAAAAAAAAAGCCAATCAGACGATAAGAAAATAACAATAACAATAATAATAATAATAATAAAAAAAGCCAATCATGGTTCTACTCACAATTCCTGCAGTTGCACGTTAAAAGCCTTCCTCTCGGCTGCAATCTGTGTGTTGAGTCTGTGCACAGTGACCACGAGGGCGGCACACACGCCCACGAGGCCGAGGAGGGCGAAGAGGGAGAACCAGTCGAGAC